ATCTTTCGGTCACGTCTGGGGGATTCAGTGGTTCAGAAAGCAGTTGACAGTCGCCTTGACATTTGGACATTGATGCCTTGCGCGTGCGCATGCGCTCAGCCTCTTGAGATGCTGGATCTTTTGGGGGCAAAAGTGCAAACAGAGAAGTGGCAGAAAGCTCTCTGGGCGTCTAAGTTGGGCGCCTTGCTGAGAGAGCTTGGAGTGCACATCTATCTCAAAAACGTTGCGAACCGAGCTATCCCGGCCGGGGCCAGGTCAGGTCGAGCGTTATTAATTGAGATGGACGGGTAGAATTAAGTTCAACCAGAGCAAATTCTGCGCAAAAGTCAGAACAACATGCCACTGAAAGGTAACCGCGAGACTGGTGGTGCCACTTGGTAGGTACGGTACACTGTACACTGTAAGGTAGAGGACGGGAATTGCGACGTCGCGTCGATTCGTGGATTTCAATAGTGTGTTCGCATTCTGCACCGGTGCCTCGTGCCGTTTCGTACAGGGAACATGCTACGGCGGACAGCCGTTCCTGCGCTCCCCGTTTCTTTCCATTCCCTCGGCCTCAGCCAGCAGGTGCGTCGATACGTCTTTCTTTGCCCATGTTTCCTTCCCCCCACAAATGCCGTGCCATGTTTGAGTTTGGCCGTGCTTGCTGCTGCGTTTGGTGGTCCCTTCCCAAAGTCCCCGGGGTTCCTTCTTTCCCTAATTTTTTTTTTCTTTCCTCCTTCCGACGCAGCAGATGCTCAATGAGCTGTTCGTACCTTAGGCACGCACATTGCATTATTACTAACCCAAGGCAGTTCACACGTCTTGATTCTTGATTCCTGAGGGTTGACGTGGTAAGTGGCCCGGCCAGTCTTTCCTCTTGGGCCATGTCACTTCCTCCACCAGGGAAGGCAGCGGTGACTTGGCCGTTCAACGTTGAGTGTGACTCTTCCTCATGAGCGAGTGTCGCTTGCCCACGAGTGTCGGCGTCGCCCACGCATCCACATTCCCCAACAGGCATCGTCTCCTGGAGCTCCTACTGGCCTGCTGCGTCTGGCTCGCGCTGAGAGAAGGTTGAACCTTTTCACTCGGGCAGCACCCTCCCACCCTGCAAATCCAGCCATTCGGATCCCGTTGACCCCCCGTCCCATCTCATCCTGCACGACCTTAGCAGCAGAGGCTACCTATGCAGCAGGGAGGGTACGTGTATGATGACATTCGGATTCGCAGCTGAGGCACATTATCCGTACTGCGCTCCAGCAGCAGGTAAGTACCCAAGTACTCTACCTCCCTCCGTTTGTTGCCCACCGCCGCCGACTCAGCACCGTACCGCAGCCATGTCCAGTCGCAGGTCGCAGCACCTATTCGTGGACGGCGTGGTCGCAGCAAGGCACAGAAACGTGAGAACCATCTTTTGGGCAGGGGACAGGGGGCCACCACAACCAGGTGCCAGGTCAGGGCCCTGTGAGGCAGTTGGTCCTTCTTCGCCGTCGCACTGCTGCGACACTTCAGGCCCGTCGTTACCGCTCCCAGCCAGCGGTACCTCGACCATCTCCGATTCCCGTCCTCCTCTTCCCTGCGACCCGTGCCAGAAAGCTGCCCACCCACCGTTAAGACCAGCACCACCTGCTGCTGTCCACCACCCGTTGTCCTCCGACCCATCACCACTCCCACACTACCTACCTAATTACTTCTTTGGTGTGCTGCCCGTTCCCTTCTTCACTTTGCTGGCTGCCTTATATTCCCACGGCTGTATCAAATTCACAACTCCTTTGCCATACATCTTCTTAATCATCCCCAACCAACACGGTCAACCATCCGCTGGATACAGCCTCGAAACCACCCACACTTACACACACCCCTGCTTCATCCAACCGCACCCTCGCCCCAGCATCTCAACCTGACTCCGAATCCAGAAACAGGACCCTGGCCATAGTCAAACATATCATTGCCTAATTCTTCACCAACCAACCGACACTTCACGCCTCTCCTCCACTTCGCCAGTTCATCCACCTTGAGATATATGAAGCCTCCCTCCCTCCCTTGACGGATCAACCCACCTGCACAAGGCATTCACTGCCATCCCTCCGAACCTCCACCATCAACTCATCACATCCCCTCCACCAAAATGCCTCAGTCAAATCGAAAATACAGCTCCAAGAGCTCCACGAGTAGTCGGGGCTCGAGGAGGAGTAGTGATTCGGTCGACTCCTTCGAGACATATGAATCACAAAGCACAACGCCCACGTCTTACTACGACTACGCGAGCACCGAGGCATCAGTCAGGGAAGCAAAGCAGGTCTCGAGCAAGTTTCAACCCGTCCAGGAGGAGGACATTTCTCCTTCAACAAGCAGCTACCCGAGGTCGACCGTCGACACTTTCGACTCGAGTATAGCTTCCGAGGACGAGGATGAGCTCGAGCTCCAACGCGAGATCGACATGGACAGCTTCGAGGAGCACCAAGAGATCCCGCCTTTGCCCGTCTACTGCCGCGATGTTGTCGATGACGTCCGCCCCTCCACCCCCCAGGACTTTGCAAAGCTCTTCCCTTCCATGAACAGGTTGTCAATCCGCCACGACGAGTTCACCCCGGACGGCAACATGAACCTGCGAGTCGACACCGTCGCCCCGGGCCGCCGCCCTTTCACCATGCAACTCTTCCACCTGCGCATGTACGACCTCAGCAAGCGCGAGTTCTCCCTGAGACGGTACTGTCGCGAGTCTGGTCGCGAGGTCTGCAACTCCAAGCGCAAGTACGTCGAGCCCGCCACCGAGGAGCGCCCCACGCTTCAGCGATCCCTCTCCAGCGCCTTCAAGACCCTCTCGACCAGGAAACCCCTCTCGCGCACCAACTCGGGCGGCTCCATGCTCAAAGGCAAGGAGCAGCAACGCCCCGCCTCCAGCTCCTCCTCCCGCGGTGGCGACGAGGACCCCTCCGCCTACTTCCAGCGCTCCGCATCCTTCGACATGAAGCAAAAGTCCCGCCCCGAGCCGACAAACACCATGAAGCTCGAGTTCTCAAACTACGCCCGCGTCGACGTCTCTCGCTGCGGCGGCAAGAACAACAAGCGCTACGAGTTCCAGTGGTGGGGTCACAAGTACCAGTGGAAGCGCGTCCTCGACAAGAACCTCGGCGTCGTCTCCTTCCACCTCGTTAAGGACGGCAACACGGCCGCCGACGCCGCAGTCGCCCACATCGTCCCCGAGACCCGCGCCCCGAACCAGGTCTACGACGACGAGAGCGCCGGCGGCTGGGTGCCTCCGTGCCACATGTGGATCAGCGACCGCAGCGTCATCGAGGCCGTCACCGACGTCGCCGATGTCATTGTTGCTACCGGCCTCATGGCTCTTGTCGACGACTGCATCAAGGACCGCTGGCAAGTCAAGAAGACGCACCGCAACCCGTTGACGTCCAAGTCCGTGAGCGAGGGCCCCAGGTCCTTTGTACAGCACATTTTCCAGCGTCGTACCTCGGACCATCAGTCGAGTCCCCTGCGACACCGCCCCATCTCAACTTACTGAGATGAACCTTCAGCACCAACACACTTTTAATGCCCTTTTGCTGTCTCTTTTCTCTACGGGAGGCACGATCAAAATTGCATCATCAATCGGTACCAAAATCTACACTGCGACGACATTGACGACTTACGACCATTTCCACTGCTCCGAACATCGTCCGTCGCAGAGAAACATTTCATATTTCATATTTCCAGCCACGAGCATCTAGCCATTATGAGCGACACCTCAAATCATCACTTTTACCAAAAACCTACATCAAATTTATTGGCAGTGGAACAAAACAGAAGACGGAAACCCGGGACACAGCTACAATGAAAGCAGCTACAGACCAGCGCGCAACAGCGCAGCACATACAGACACAGACCAAAGGATATGGGAGGAGACTAGGATACCATTTTCAGGGCACCGCGCATCGCATCGCCGCGTCGCGATGGTAGGACGGCGTTCTTCATAGGGATATTTCACATTTATCTGTACATACATTTGTGTCAACAACTATTGTCATTTTTTCTCTCGACGATTCAGCCTTCTCTTTTCATTCATCAGGCGAGGAGTCGAGGAGTATTTGGAGCGGATTCCCCATCATGAGGGAGGGGAACCAGGAATTGTACGAATGAAGCAGACTATTGATGATCCACGTCTGTATTTTTGACTGAGATACAATACAAACAACACCAAGCGCGCAAACGCCTTTTGCTCATGCAAACATCTTTTCATAATCACCATACTGTCTCTACCTATGCTTCGCTTTGATGGTGAATAATGGAAATCCACGGATGCAAACAGTCGTTCCTCATGTCCACGAAGGCGGTGACGAAACAGGAAAAAAGCTGGTAGAGTGAGGTAGACGAGACTAAAAGTCGGCCGGTCTGGAACACGAGAGCGGTCGTCAGTGTCGTACCACCCCAGACCCCCACCCAGCCCGATGAACACCATGCACCCCGCCCAACGCCATCATGAGATGCTGTGCTCGCTTACCGATGATGTAGGTCATGTCTCTGTCAAAAAGTCTGCATAGGCTTCTGGAATGACAGCACCCACGCGCCTAACCTCTTAGGGGCCCGAAAATCGCCAAGCCGAGGAACACCCAACGGAAACCAACCCCCGCGTGCCACAGCAGAGAGCCCTGGCGTGACCCATGACGTCCTCCGGTCCGTCCCGCCGGTGTCGTCGCGTTACCAACACGTTGTCTACCGCCCACTCTTTATGTCTTTTGCAACGTGGGATTTCAATTCCCACCTTCCCTGCCCCCTCGCATGGTGTTTTGCAGGTCGGAGTTTCTGGGCAGGGCGACGTTTCCCAGAGCAATGATTCGCACCAAAGCTTGTGCATTGTGGAAACTCGGGTGTTGCAGTGATATCGCCATCATGTCATTTTCGATAACATGTAAGACTCCCCGCAGATAGGGTCGGCTATCTATTCAGTGGCAATGCAAGGCGCACATGTGGTGTCCCCCGCGGGATGCCAATGGAGAGAAACGAAGTAGTCGAGACTTGAGACATCAGTACTCGCCAAAGACGAAGAATTCGTCCTTCTTGTCCCCGAACCAGCCCCCGAGGTCAAGCTTCATGAGCAGTCTCTCCACGCCACCGACCCGCCGAGGAATGTACTCGCCCTCTTCCCTAAGGACACCCTCCTCGCCGCCTTCCTCCTCGTCCGCAAACGCGGCGGGGTCCGCCTCGAGGGACCTCAAAGAGGCTATGACCTCGCGGATACCATCCTTGACGTGTTTTTCCACATCCCGTATCGCGGCGCGCACGTCCTTCTCCTCAATCTCGAGGTCGACGAACGCATCTACGACTCCGGCGTCGGCCTCCAGGTCCATCGAGGTCCAGACGGCGTGGAGACGCGTTGTCAGCGCGACGAGGTGATCAGTATGCGTCAACAAGTTGTACAGAGGGTCTGTATAAGAGGGAAATGTGAGCAGGAGACGAGTCGAGAGTGCGCGTAGATACGCTCGGTGTGCTGTCGCGAGGGACTGGGGGTCATGGGTCGGAGTCGGCTCAGGTGTTTTAGGGCCGAGGTTGAGGTTGGACGTGCTCTGCGCGAGCCAGATATCATCATCCTCATCCTCTGAAACCGCTGCCGAGGGTGCTTTCGAGGGTGACGTGGAGTTGGGTTTGGTTTCGGGCTTCTTTTCGCTCGAGGTAAGCCACTCTTGAAAGCCTTCCCATAGACCTGCGACGATTTCCGTCTGCAAATACGCTTCCGTCTCGGAAAGGAAGAAGAGGGCCGAGCTGCAAGTGACCCAGGCGCTGCGCAGCGCATTCGATCGTGTAGTGTAGCGTTGGCGGAGAAGCACCACTTTTGATCGACCTGCTCGCGTGCTTCCGGCTGGGGGGCCAGGGGGTGCCGGGTGATGCCGGCGTAAGGATGTAATCTTCCACAGCTCGGTAAGGCGAATATGTGCCCTGCGGATGGAGAGGAGGTAGGAGTTGATTGTGGAGTAGATCTGGAGATCGGATGAGGTGAGAAACATGTCCAGCGGTGAAGGTATCTGCATCGTCAGGATGACGGGAACAGACAGCAGAAGATTGCGGAAAGGGGTCGTGGCCAACGTTTTCGTTGTTGGTTGCGATGTGCTGGCTTCAAGCTTGAGGGGCACCGCAGGCTTGGACTTGGTCAGATTCAAGCGCAGTAATTGTCTCCCAATCTCGAGACCCTCATCTTCGTCCGCATGCTGCCCCTGCATCAAGCCCATCTCTCCCCACGTCTTGGCCAGCACGGCTGCGACCTCGCCTTCCTTGACCGCAAACTGGCCGACACCCTCGCGCTTTTCATAGGCGAGATTATCTGCCCTCTTCCAGCGGCTTCGTAGCTTCTCGTCAGCCTGGTGTGTCAAGGCCATGGCGAATTCACCCCGACCCAAGAGAAAGAACTCGCGCAAAACTTGCAGTGCCTCCACGACTTTCGTGAGCGGCAATAACTTCAGTAGCACTGTACGTGAGAGCGTGAGGCGAATGGCGGTGATTGCCCGCGAGAAACTCGCTGTGTTCAGCGGATATGTCAACGCGGACAGCTCCTTCAGTTGCGACGAAAGGTGGTCTAGCCCCTGGAGGCCCGACTCGACGCTGCTCTTCACACGGACATGGTTTAATGACCTCCCAATGAAGACCATCGAAGACGCAGTCTTTGGCGTGACAAAGTTCGGCAATAACGTCGGCACTGAGACATAGTCCTGCTCGTCGTTAGTCACCACATTCCGTACCAAGCGGGCTTAACCTACGTGATCGCCGCTCTCCGCCTTATGCACGAAGAAATCCTCTCCGCCAAAGGTAGGCAGCCGGCCGTAGAGGATCCAAGCAGAAACCTGCTTCAACCACGCCGTCTCCGCCACGGAGACCAGACTCATGGCCGTCCTCTCGATATCCACGTAACCACTCTGCAGCTCGCTCCGCAACCGATCAATAAGCTGCGCGCCGCGACATGTCTGCCCTTGCTGCTTCCGCAGCATGAATTGCACAATCTCCCAGAGCCATTCCATCCGCCGCGTCCACTCCGAAAACTCGCCCACGACTGCCGTCAAAGGTACAATATTGTACGCGCCCACCAGACTCGAATCTTTCCTCAGAACGGTCTCCTCGACCTCGAGCACCTTGCGCTGGAAGGCAGCTAGGTGGACAGACTGCACGGCTGTCGCGACGGCGCGGCATATCGTTGACGGATGCTCGGCGGCAATGGGCGCTGTGTAGCTCTGCAATTTGACGTGCAAGTCACTCAGGTGTGCGACGGTGGCTAGGAGCTCGCGTTCCGGTGGTGAGATGGCGGGCGATGGTAGCGCATCGGGGTCTGAAGCTTCGGTTCGGAGCAGAGGGGAGGGGTGCCCGGAGAGGGCGAGGAGGATTTCGTGGAGCATGGCTTCTTTGCGCCGAGGCCCAGGCCAATGCTGCTGCTGTTGCTATGATTGTCGTGTCTGCACAGGAAACCGAGGTGTTAGCCATGAGTTGTCCGGTTACAATCGTGGCGACGTTGGTGGAGGTGGACATGGGTTCGAGGGGAGGTCTTGGGAGGGGCCCAAAGAGACGGCATCATCACATTTCGCGGGTGGGTTGCTTCTTGGACTTTGACTTTTCGCCAAAGTCGCGTAGAAGCAGGATGAAAGCGCCTAACAGCTCGAAGCGACACATTTACACGTCGAAGTCGGTGCGGGCGCGAAGGATGGCGGGAGAGAGCAATTCGAACGAAGGCGGCTCCTTCGGGCGGGAGGATGGGAGGCGGGGCAGTTGGGCAAGCAAGACGTCGCAGCCGGAAAAAAAGTAAGGTGATGTGATGGTTGGCAGATTACCTTGTTATGTTGTTTTCTGCATTAAGCAAAGTCCCCTTTCGTCGCACGAACCAGTCAACTCTCTTTCCGTGTCCCCTTTCGCAAAAAAGAAAGGAGCGTCCGAGCCACAAAAACGGAAATCGCACTGGCTGTCAAGGAGGCTCCATGCTCGAGGGCCTGATCCCTTCCTATATCACGGTAGCGGCATTGATGGAATCGACATCAGGGGAAAGCGCGACGGGGCTTGACTTGACGCGACTAACTGGCAGCGGGCTAAAGTGACACTGACCACGACCTGCCCGCTCTGAGACCTGCGGGGCCCTCTTTAGGTACGTGCACGTGATGTTCCACGTCCTTACGTCGAGCTGAGGTAAGCCCCGCGCTCTGGAAGCGGCCCGGTCGACGGGTTCCGGTGCCCGGCCTTGAAGTGGAACCCCTGACCGGTTCGGTGCCGTCTGACAGCTCTTAAACCAGGCCTATCCCAACCGCGTTCAAAGGCTATGGAAACAAAGGCGCCAACGGTCTGCTAGAACTGTTCTTAATTACTGAAGCGGCTACCTTCCTATTTTCATGTCGTTCTCGCATTCGACAAGCAGAGATACGGAGTTGCCCGGTCCTTGTGCGGGGTCTTCGATACAAACATGGCGGCCCATATGTGGCCATCCAAAAACACCTTCTTCATTCGCTCTGCAATCATCTTTGTCCAGAATTGTCTCGCTCCTCTCATCGCACCTTTTCGGCGGCCTTCTTACCGTTCCCCTCATACGCTGTGTACAAGCTCGTCGTGTCGCTCTCGTCATCCCTGCGGGCAAGAGGCTTTCCATCTTCTAGCAGTCCGACAGTGTTACCACCGTCTCCGCCCCCGACAATGATCTGGCCGCCTCCCTTTACCTTCCCGACGACCATACCCTTAGCGACGCTCTTCAGGATGGCTCTTCGAGAGACGCCGGTCACGTCGATGTAGACCAAGCCAACATTCTTGAAACCGCCGCCGATGTTTCTCGACACCTGGCCGGCTTCGGCACCCCAGCGATGCTCGACCATTTGCGATACACTGGATGAAGTGCCCACCAGCAGGTTGCGTCCGGCTTGGTCGATACCGTCGGCGACGGTGTTGAATGCCATCAAGCTCCTGTTAAGCAGCCCTGGCTTGTAACCCTCAATGGGGTTACCATCCTTGTCATACCCCCTTCCGCCGCCATTCTTCTTCCTAGCAAGGGTAGCGCCCAGGTTCTGTGCAACTTTACCAATCTGTCCAACCGTCGTCGCTGACAAGCCAGCCGCAGTAGTAGTGAACTGGTTGATGCGACGAATACGGTCGTGCGCCGCCGGTGTGAACGTCATGGCCGTCTCGTTGGACTTGGTCTTTGTGGTGAAGCTATCGGCTCCTGTTTGCAGACCCTTGGTGACCATGTCTGACGACGTAACGATCAGACGGGAAGCCTTGGAGGCGTTGGAGACCAGGAAGGACTTTTTGTAAGCTGGGTGCATGATCATCTCGCGATACTCCTGCGACACAGGCTGGACGGTAATGGCCTGGCTCTGGTTCGCGGGGAGGGTGATCTCCACGGGATCTGGCATGCCATGTGAGTCAAGGTCGGCCGAGTAGCCGCCCGACTTACCTTTTGTGCCGGGCTTCACGCCCAGTTCCTCTTGGATTTGGTAGTTCTCCGCCAGCTCGCCGATGACGCTGCCATCCTCCTCGTCAATCAGCACGATCCTGCCGCCATTAGGGGAGCTGTGGCTTCCCTGAGCGTAGGCTTGCCCGGGCTGATAGTCGGCAGGATTGTAGGCGGGGAGGCCGTCGTCAGCTGCTGCTCTCGCCTTTGCGGAAGAAGCTGCGGAGGGTATGGCGGCAGCCTTCGCGGACTTCGCGGCGGAGGAACCCTTTGGCGGGGGCGCTCGTTCGAGGAAGGCGGTGCACTGGGCGAGGATTGTCTCGAAGGTGTCTACATCTTCTTGAAGACCCTTTCTGCTGCCAGTGTCGGGGAACTCGATGCGAGTGAATGCGCCGCTGTCGGGGCCCATATCCCATCTTGGAATCAGGTAGCTCGTTGGCGGCTGGTGGTAGATCTGGGTTGTGGCGGGGAGAGGCAAGTCGAGTTCGGGAGGGAGGTGCAGGTGTAGGTAGAAGTCCTCTGCTGGAGTTTCTCCGTTTGTGTCGGAAAAGGGCGACGATGTCGGGACCATCAACAGCGAGAGGGTCTGGGGGCCGGCTGGAGTCAGAGACTCCTCCTTTCCGTGGGCAAGGTGGTAGGCCTTGACGCCATTGATGGCGTACAAGAGCTTGGGGTCCTAAATCGTAAGGTCAGTCAGTACGCTTTAAGCTTGTCGAGTTGATGTTGCGCGCCCGGTGCCGTACGTTGTGTCCTGAAGCCATGTTTGTGATGCGCAGAACAGGCGCGAACTTTTGGAGACTTGGCTGCCTCAGATCAGCGTCTCAAATTGCGACTGGCGCAAAGAAGAAGCCTGAAAAATCAAGACGTAGGGGTAGCTAGGTTGAGGAGGGGGGAAGCGCGGGGTGTTTGGGGTTGACTTTTTGTGATGCTGGGAGGATTTGGTCGGAAAGGTAGCTGCAGGCTGGTGGTAGGTGCAAGTAAGCGACAAGAAAGGTGACGAGGAGCAGACGCGACGACTATTCGCCAAGGAGGATCGAGCGACAAGGTGCTTCGAGAGTGAGTAGGCGGTAGGTAGGAGGCGAGTCGTGAGAGTTGTGACGAGATTCGCAGGTTTAAAGGTTGGGTTGGGGGTGTGGTGATGGCAAAGTCGGTTGGATTGGACGAGATTGAAACTACGTGCATGGCATGGCGCTTAAGTCGGTGCTGCTGCTGGTGCTGCTTCTTTCTTTAGCTCCGGGGCAGCCTCCACCTCAGCAGGTCACCCACTCTCGTCACTCGTCGCTCGTCACCCGTCACTCGCTGCTGTTGGTTCTGTCCCTCTCTCTGTCTGAGGTGGTCTGGATCCCGATTCCCTGGACGTGCCCGAGAGGCCTCTCTGAGGCGGGCGACGTCATTGGGTGTGCTGGGCAGTGGTGTTCCAGGCACTTCCCAGTCTCGGTCTCCGGTCCAGTGCACACAATCCACACTGGCATTTTAGCTCTTGTGCCACCACCGACTAACATGGAGTAAAACGGGACGACATCGACGACCCCTTTTGCCCCCCTCTGCCATTCCAATCAGTGTCCCTCAGTCACCTCCAGCCGTGGCATACAACAGCTGTGAAGCTGCAGCGGTGTCCGTTGTGTTTGATGGTGGGGGTTCCTGGCTTCTGGGGCGTGCACAGCCACCTGCGACCGGCGCATTCCATTTTACCTTGTTGCTCCTCCTCTCACCCGTGGACCTCCACTGCCAGTTAAAGAGTAAGGTAAGGTAGGTGCTAGTGCAGAGCTCCGGCCACCGCTTGAACCCCTCAGTGGTCCCTTAGTCCCTGGAGTCCTCTCGGCAGCTGTCACTGCACTGACACACCCCCATGTGTTTTCTGGCGCGCCGCACCCGCTCTGCCTCTAAAACCGCTGTGAAGTGCAGCGACCCGGTACGTACTTTCCCTTCGCTACCACCCGCCGTCGTCATTTTTTGCCATCCAACGGGCGAAAAAAGACGGTTGAGACAAGTCCATCCATTCATCGGCGGTCCAGCTCTTTCTTTGATCAGCATTGTTTCCTGCTCGCCTGGTCATCAGGCTGGGAGGCGAATCTCAAATTCGCTTCCAAGGTTGCGAATCTCCCTCCCTCGAGCCCCGTCCGATGTTTGTCTCGGTTTTCGACACTCAATTTGCCAAGTGGGCAGTGTTCAACTGCGAATACGGGGCCTTGTGAGCAAGTGCTCCGTTGCCAAGAAATCATCACATGGAAATCAGCATTTGATATTTCCATTTGCTGCCTGCCGTGTCCACGCAATCACTCCCTGAGCATTGATGCTCTTTCCACCATCCCCCAACCTCAACCAACTGTATCGGCACATCATCATGGCTGAGCTACACTACGAACTTTCGCCTCGTTGCATGAAGCATATTCTATCGAATTCCCCCTCTTAGACCACGCGTCGACCGCTTGCGCACTGCATCTTCTTGGCATCATTGGACGAAGCTGTACCATCAATGACATGTGTTGTTGAGAGTTGCGGACGTGTCATCCCAGCTTCCATATCCACTCCGAGCCACTTACAACCAACACATACGTCTCCAACGACAGAGATGTTTGCCCTCACCCCTTATCAACTGTCCTTTCCTTGTATGCTTGCACCGTTTCTCGGTTCACAATGTTGCTCACACCGTTGCCAGTGCGTTGTCAGGTTGAACCAGGCTCAAGTGTTTCTGGTCTCAGCCAGTCCTGGAAACTAGAAATCCTCATATCAAGTGCGTTGACTTTGCGTCCTTGGGTCATCATGACCTTTCTCTTCTCTCTATGAGGAGCAAGTTTTGCGCAATCAAAGTCTCCGGTGTGTTGCAATTGTTCGAATGTCGAAGACGCTTATGATAGCCGAGGTAGAAGTCTAGCTTGTCTTTCCAATTGTACACTGATTGGTGAGGGTCATGAAGAGCTGTCGTTGAGATCCAGAGCCGGAGATCTCACCTTTGACATTGGTTCAACTGCTAGTTTGGCCGGAGAATGGACATTGCACAAGAGACAGATCAACCAGGCTTTGGCCTTTCTCAGATGAGCCAAGATAAGAGGCTATTCTGTCGTGTCTACATGGCGACAAAGTGTCGGCCGGAAGTATGACTACGACCTGGCTAGTCTGCTCAATTACTTCAGCACGCAAGAAGAAATCCGGCAGACCTTGTCGAGCAACCAATATAAGTTCGAGAGCAATGCATGGGTGTGGCCATAAGAATGCCGCTCGGTATGCCACTGATTTCTCATCAAACGATCTGGTCCTCCGGACATTCTATCGAAGACGGTCTTTTGCCAAGACGGTGGGTTTCTGACCATTCTCGGGGACAGAGAAGGCTTTGAAATGGCCCATTCAAGGGCCGGACGAAGTGACCAGAGATGCGAGCCTGGTGGGAGTTTGATATTTTTGATATCGGTAACACTGCCCGCGACACGCGCGAGACCGGAGACGGCTATCAAGTAGATGGATGTATCAAATTGCTCTCCTCATCGACGCCTCCTCTGATCCTGTCACCGGAACAATGTCGACGATTCCCGAACATCAACCCTTGATTTCGACGTTCGGCAATCTTTCGTCACAGGTCTTTGAGTGCTTCGGAAGCGACTAAGCAACAGCCAGGAGAGAGACTGAGAAGATGGAAGCTGTGACTTTGACAGCGAGGGACACAGACACAGCGGCAGAACAAGCCACCTAAAAAAAATGCAGAGAGAAAGAAACTAGCAAGCAGTAGCACGTCTCGTCACATTTTCTCTGTCTCGTAGCCGTCTTCAACACTAATCTTCTTGCTTATCGAACACGGAGATATGCTCTCCCACGGCCACGCCGAAACATCATTTAGGACCGAAATACAACCATGTGGTTCGCATATTGTGTCTCGATCACGAACAATTGGCCACGAAGGCATACATACCGATGGTGCAGATAGCCACACGGAGATGCAGATATGATCAATCACAAAAGCTGCACAAAAAAAGCATGAGAATCTCCCATATTGTGTCTCGCCAAACTATTTGAAGCTGTCGAATTCCTCGATACCAATCACGGTCCGCCAAGTTCCCGATCCGACTAGACCGCCGCGATGCATTCCTCCTCGGACGGCCTAGCGGCGTGGAGCCAAACTAAACCGATGGCCAGCTGAGGGCTTCAGCTTGCTGCAAGAACGCCAATGGATTCGCTGAGAGAACATCAAAACTCCCCGAGCAAGGGCTGACGTGTGGCTGTCGTGCAAGCTGCTGAAATCGAAGCGCTGTCAACCACATTGCTTGTGTCGGTGATTTCTCTTCACAGACGGGGTCTCCGAGATGCTTCAAGAGCCGAGAATGGTAACTCCAAACTGAGCAACTACACACATGTCCGCGATGTTTCTTGATTGGCAGTAATGAATACGGAGACACGACGACGGCATCCGGCCATCGCGATGAGGTTCGACGATACAGTTGTCGGTGCTAGGTTTCGTTGCGTTCAAAACGAGTATAAAACCTCGCCTTGGAGTGCCTAGCTGTTGTTCGTGGTTCTATAGTATTCATCCCCTCCTCACTCTTCATCACCGCCGCTGAAAAACAGATGCCAGAAATATTGCATCAAAAAAAGCATCAAAACATCAAGATGATATCGACAACCAACCATCTCAAGTTCTCTTCTCCCCTGACGCTCCCCTTACAACAACTCGACCATGCCCTCACCACCCTCCGCTACCACACCCACACCCTCTACCTCTTCACCAAAAATGACATCAAAACAATGCTCATCCCCCTCTCCGCCCTGGGCATCCTCACATCCCTCCCCGGGCCTCCTCTAACCTCCCACCCAACATCCTTCCCAACCATCCTCTCAAACCTGCCCGCCCTCCTCCTCTGGCTCTGGCTCAACATCCTCATCCTCTCCGTCTCCAACCAGCGCGACCCGGCCGGCGTGCTCGAGGACAAGCTCAACAAGCCCTGGCGTCCCATCCCTGCCGGCCGCACCTCCGCCGCCCAAGCCAGACACCTCCTCCTCGCCGCTGTGCCCCTCACCCTCGCCCTCAGCTTCCGCCTCGGCGTCGGCTCCGAGACGCTGGCCTGCATCTGCGCGAGCTCCTACTACAACGACCTCGGCGGCGCCGACGAGCACTTCCTCATCCGCCAGCTCGTCAACGGGCTCGCGTACCCCGTCTACGGCGTCGCGGCGCTCAAGATCCTCATCGCAGACGTAGGCATGGCCGAGATCCTCCCGGGCGCGTACGCGTGGCTCGGGATGCTGGGCCTCGTCGTGGGCACGACGATCCAGGTCCAGGACCTGAAGGACTACGAGGGCGACAAGGCGCGCGGCAGGCACACCTTCCCCGTGATCCTCGGGGACGCGTTCACGAGGTTCGGCATCTGCGTGGGCATCCTGTTCTGGTCGCTCGTTTGTCCTGCGTTTTGGGGCATCGTGCAGGTCCTCGTGGCCGGGTGGGTGTGGCTTTCCGGGGCCCTTTTGGCGGCGAGGATATGGTGCTGCAAAGGGCCAGAGGCGGATCGGCTGTCTTTTGTGATGTGGAGTTGGTGGGTGATGGGGTTGTTTGTGCTCCCCCTGATGCGAGTGGCGTGAAGTGGCGGTCATGCTGTGAGGCTATTCGATGAGCTGGGGAAAGGGGCAACGCTGAAGGCATCATGATAGGCACGGTGATGGTGATGATGAAAAGAAAAACAAGTCCATGGTTAAGCAGCCTTTTGTAAGACGCAAAGTCAGCCTTTCTGGCTGGATGGGTATTATTATGATACTACAAGCAATTAAGTGAGATGTTCACTGTCTATCCATGATTCGTCTGATAATCAGGCAGACTGTCCGTCACCGCCTACGGGACCTTGTCCGACAGGCCACTGAGGCTGTCCCATCGGGCACGACGCTTCATCTGCAGCGGCCTTGATGATATCCGCCGCCTTCTCCGCCACTGCGTACACCGCTGCCTGGATATGTCCGCCTGGGATCATCGGCATAATACCGGCGTCCACAACACGAAGGTTGCAAGTCCCGTACACCATCAACTCAGAATCCACAACACCGCCAAGGTCTTTCGGCAACATGCTCGTCGTGCCGCTAGGGTGATACTCCGTGCCCACCAGCGGCTTCAGCGCCATCATGAGCTCCCGCTCGTCGGTAGAGTTGTACTTGGCGTCGACTACTGGAAGGAGCGGCCTCATGGCGTCTGTGGCCATCAGCTTCTGCGTGAGCTGGAGACCGAGTCTGATGATTTTGCAGTCGAGAGGGTCCGCACAGTACCGAGGGTCAACGGCGGGGGCGTCGTAGACTGAGGACGAGGATGGCCGAACGGTGCCGCGAGACAGGGGCTTCTGGTTTGCGATGGAGATTTGACCCCATGATGCGGCGAGGAGTTCGTACGCACCGACGTCTTCGCGAGCCAGGTGGTTGAGTAGAAGGGCCTTCTGCTTTGCGTAGCCGGCTGCCACAGCGGACGGGGTGTTGAGGGGAAGGAAGTCGAAGGATTGGTTCTTTGAATGGGCGAGAAGGGTTCTCCATTCGTCGGCGTGATGCTTGAGCGCTGGGAGGGCGACGGTGTTGATCAGAGGTGTTGTCAAGGGACCTGAGAAGGTTAGCTTCACGTCGTTATGGACAAGGGCATGACTTGCCCGTCTTGTTGGCCAAGAACTGGTCCAGCGCATCTTCGAGCGTGTCACCGTTGAGATCATGAGAAGTGAAAACAGATGCATTAGAGTCTGAAAGCATGTTAGATTGAAGCATAGATTAGGCAGGCTCCTGGGTGCTTACAATCATATGGGAATCGGGCCATGGGGTGATCCTGAAAATTGTTTCCAACTCCGGGCAGATCGATCTGCGTGGAAACATTCAAGGATTCCAAAACTTGACGAGGACCAATACCGGAGACTTGAAGAAGAACAGGCGACTGAATGGCTCCAGCGGCCAGGATGACTTCTTTGTTCGCAGTGACGGTTCTGTTGATATCCGACAGACCAGATGAGAGCTTATACGGTCAGAACTCGTAGGGCCAATGTGTAACTCATGACAACGACTTACCTCGACGCCGATAATCCGGCGGCTTTCCTGGTTGGTCAGGGAGCCGGGCAACCCTACGATCAGCCGCGTGGCCATGTGGCCAGTGACAACGTGAAAGTTGGAGCGCGCGTTGGCTGTGTCGAAGTAGCCAGTTCTCGCATCGGATCTCGTCTGGTTTGTGGGGGACATGCTCGAGGCGACGATCATAGCGCCGGTCGGGTCACCCGAATTGACGTCGTTGGATGTATGGATACCGACCTCGGCAAGACCTTGAAGAACGCTGCCTGTTTCCGATTAGCTTCAGATCATTCCAAATCTAGGCAGTATTTACTGGATGTGTTGTAGATATGCTCCGGGTACGCCACGTTGATGGGACCGTCAGTTCCGTGGAAAGACATGTTGGGCTTGATGTTGAACTCGTCACTAATGCCTTGACCGACGTTGGTCGTGTACCTCTCAACCTAAGTCGTACGTCAGAATCCTGGCACCGCCTCAGTTCAAGGATTTCATACCTTCTTGAAGTATGGCAACAGTCCATCCCATCCCCAACCGTCGTTGCCGAGCTCCTCCCAGGCGTCGAAGTCGGCAGCGGCGCCTCTGGTCCAACACATTCCATTCACGACCGATCCACCACCGACGACTTTTCCCTGGTTAATATCTCGAGTCTTCCCGTCCAAGAAGGTCTGGGGCGCGGTGAGGACATCTTGACCATAGCCGGAAGGGGGCGTACGTCCAATGTATCCCGGGATGATGACCCGACCCTCGCGGCGGTCACTGGTGAATTGTTAGCTTGTTTTCACAATGAAGCGATGAAACAGTCTAAGAATGGAATATTCACAGGTCGCCGGCCTCGATTACGAGGACAGTCGCTATATCTGGTCAGCGTAACGAACCATAGTTGGCAAAGGGGTAAATACCATCGGGATTCTCGCTGAGCCGGTTCGCGACCACGAGTCCGGAGAGGCCGCCACCAACAACGACGTAGTCGTACTCATCGAGAAGAAATTTTTCAATGGTCTGGTAGGTGATGTGGAGGGCATTCGAGTAAGGAAGGAGCAGCGAGAGGGCGAAACAAAACAAAATTTCGAAAGGATGCATCTCGCACGCCGCCCAAGTCGCCCAAAGAAATCAAAATAAAACCTCCAATAAAGAAGAACAAAAAAATCCTCCAAGTCCGATTATTGATGTTGTGTGTTGGAAAGGGGGACAAAAAGATTGGTGGGGTGAGAGAGGTGAATGAGTGTAAGAGGGTCTGAGACCGTCGCTCGGTGTGAAAGAGTGGAAGGAGTGAGGCAGCGCTTGCTCACCGACGCACCTTCAGTGAGCCATCCTCACCTCGAGGGATCCCATAAGATATACTCGAACTTCTGTTTGACTGCTTTCTTCCATTCGAATCGTCGACTTTTAGGGTTCTTCCCCACGGTAATCTCTTGAGCATCTTTGCTCGGCAAGACATGGCATGACTACGAAATGGAAGGACTGCTGCAGAAAGGCCGTCGACGCACGATAAATCTCCTTAGAAGCAACATCCGAAAAGATCTGAACACACACTGGAAATATCTGTGGGTTCTAGCTCGCAACGTTTTCTTCGTCTGACCATTTTCATCGTGGGCGTCGGTTCAGCCCGCTGGTCCTGCTTGCTTTTCCGGGTCGCCGCCCCTCTATAATACAGAATTGACTGAGACAAACACGCGGGTGCATGGATACGTGTTGAGACAACGCAAACAAGAATACATCAACGGTAATTATGAGTTGGTCATGTGATGATGCCGGCGGAATCCGCTACCAGGGACGAAGCTTGCCAGGCCGTTGGTCATGAATGCGCGACGCTGACTGCAGTCAAGCTCGAATGATCATATACAGCCGCAAACAAGCAAATGCCGATCGATTAGCACTTGTTGATCGATGTAATGTGTGGTTGAACACTACCTACCACCCAGGTTGCTCTGTTATTTACAAAATAAATAGCCAAGCATTCTCCCTAGCATTGTTATTGGCGAAAAGAAAATCAACAGAGCGACTTGTGCTCGCTGCTTAAGTTGTGCATCGCATGACCCGATGAGCAGATTCTTCAAGATTAACCCACGTTGCTAAAGCTTTATGCTATTATGAATGAGACGCTACTATGCAGCTAGCATGGAGAGCTCTCACCAAAACTTAGCAGGTGAAGGAAGCTGTAACTGGTCTCATGCAGGGGAATCCGAACGAGCGATCTCACTCTCGACGAAGGGAGAAATGCTTTCGGGTCGCACTTCACGTAGGAATGGATGGCAATCATGTCCTCTATAACCCGTCGGCAGTATGCCTGAAAGATCCATAACGAAGGCCAAGAAGATAGAAAGAAATCACATATTGGAAGGAGCAAAAACGAAAAGAAAGGATTGTCCCCGGTCAGACTCGAACTGACGACCAACAGCTTAAGGATACTACGCTAGGGCTAAGGATAACATAAGACTGCTGCTCTACCGACTGAGCTACGGGGACGTATTGTTAATGGAAGAGATAATTAGATCAGTACTTGAAGGTTAGACTGTGAGTTGAGTTCTCAGGGTAGACTGCTCAAAGGGGTCAATGCACCTTGAGGATTCGAGAGTCACTTCCTGGATGTAGGTGACCGTCTCCCGTTCATCCAGCTAACTCTGATATACTAAGCTAAATAAGCTAAGCAATAGTTCCCGTTTGCAGAGGGAAGTAGGAATTAGTGACTAGTTCACAAGCTTTCGAGTTCTTCCCAAGTCAAGGCTTGTCAGCAACCCGATGTATCGCCGAGGAGCATTTGGCCTCACCTAACTTCATCCCAATCACACTCCGTAGAGGTTGCCAGAAGTGAGTCACACAACAACCTGATGCCGCAATTATCATTCTGATCATGATCATTTGTCCTCAACAAGCAGCAAGCACGGTAGCTCAGTGGTAGCAGCGGTGGGCTCATAACCCAAAGGTCCCTGGATCGAAACCAGGCCGTGCTAAGTCGAATCTTTTTGCCCGTTTTCAAGAAGATGCCGCAAAAGAAACACTCGCTAGGAATCTCATATCATGTCTTGGTCTGCCTACCTGCTAATCTAGGAAACTCATGGGTCGTCTGTCATGCCGGATAATCTCTGCAGACATTTTATATGAGACTGGGAGCACAGGTTCATAGATTGAGCAAACAAGCCAGGAAACAGGAAATCAAATTAAATCTCATGTTTGGTGTGACAGTGCCCGTCGGGAGACCGTGTGAAGGGATGGTCCCGATGGCACTAACTTGCTCGGACTTTGATACTCCACCGAAGCCATCAACAGAACATGTTCGCTTTGCTCGGGGAAATGGCTCACCAAGCAAGGGCCGCTGATGTGCGACGGATGCCAGGTCGATCAATACATTTGCGGCCGTTGGTCGGGACCAATCACTGTCATGTTCGACCATTTGCTCGTATTCGATGGTCACTCAAACGCTATGACGGAAAAACAAGAATTCAATACAGAATTATGAGAGTTGGCCTCCAGATGGAGCTTTCCTCGGACTTTGACTCTCAAGTCCAGAGAGATGAAGGAAGGCGAATGCTGCCGTCGTTGACCGAGGTGAAGGTGCCATCGCCCCACTCAAATTGGTATTGGGCCAATAGGAAGCTCCCTGATGTAATCCGACCACCACTCCTACCTCGAGCTTCGACTCTGACGCAAGACTCCTGACATGCTCTTCATCCAGTTCATACGAACGAGTTTGCAAGATGCAAGCGTTGGCGAGAGCGCTTACCAGAAAGAATGGGATCCCCAGGAGAGCCATGTGGCCTCCCAGGCGATCCCTCCATCTTGCACCACCCTTCCTTCTCGACGACTACATACCACGGTACATGATGTTGTCCTCCATCGATGAATCCAAAAAGCGCTCCAAGGCGTACCATCACCTCTCAAAATGCAATCTCTGTCCGCGCCTATGCGGCGTCAACCGTTTCGAGACGACGGGAATGTGTCTGATTGGCGATAACACAAAGGTCAATGTGATTGCGCCTCATTTCGGTGAAGGTCTGGAAGCAGCTGTCCCAAAGCAAGGGTGCCGCACACTGACCAGCCGTCACAGAACCATGCGTCCAGGGGCACAATGGAAGTGGCGCGGTATTCTTTTCCGGCTGCAATCTCCGCTGCGTCTTTTGCCAGAACCATGACATTGCCCATCAGCGCAATGGCCAGGACCTGACACCCGAGGAGCTGGGCGAGTGGTACATCAAGCTGCAGCAGGTCGGCCGCGTCCACAACATCAACCTCATCACTCCGGAGCACGTGGTTCCCCAGGTTGTCTTGAGCATCCTGCATGCCAGGCACCTAGGCTTGAAGGTGCCCATCATTTACAATACCTCGAGTTTCGATTCGCCTGAGTCGTTGGAGCTGCTCGATGGCTTGGTCGACATCTATCTCCCTGACTTCAAGGTTTGGGAAACCAGCACATCCAAGCGCCTCCTGAAAGCAGACGACTATGCGGCCACGGCGCGCGAGAGCATCAAGGCGATGCACGCGCAGGTTGGCGATCTTTGCTTTACTGGCGACGGCATCGCCAAGAAAGGCCTCCTTGTACGCCATCTGGTCATGCCAGGGAAGGAAGCAGAGGGACACAAAATCATGGAATTCCTGGCCAAGGAGGTTTCCAGGGATTGCTTTGTCAACATCATGGAGCAGTATCACCCAGATGCCCACGTTGGCAAGGCCAGGAGACGTCCCAAAGCCGGGGCCGCCAGCACCGAGTCTGGTGGAGAGGAGGTTCGATACAGTGAAATCAATCGAGCCGTGTCTGATAACGAGATCTCCTCGGTCCGGAAGGCGGCGGAAGCAGCTGGTCTGTGGCGATTCTGTGACCCGCCTCGCCATGATGGTTTCAACATCTGAACCCCCTTGCATCACAAGACAAACGCTAGCATGCTTCTTGGCACCTCATGAAGGAAACATGGTGGCATTTGGCTCCTCGCAGTCGGCGGCGAACTGAAATTGGTGCCATCATGCCAGGCTCGTTGCTTCTGTGCCGCAGCCATGCCGACGTCGCGTGGCAACCCTCAGGTGTGTTGATTCCCTAGAAGTCGTAATCAGTTACACCTACCTTCTCGTTGATACCATCATAAGGACTATTACGAGAACCACGGGCCTCTTTAACAACAAGCGGACGCTGACTTTTGCAGATGGTAATGGCCAAGAGTGTGAAGAAAAGTCCGAGGTTTCCCACCCTGTACCATGTCGTTGGAACCAACAAACGTTGCCGAGTGCCGAGCACCACGCGTCTGATCATGTTCAATGCGGGGTTTCCATTGTTCGAAGCTCTCGTCAAATTAAACCGCAGGCTGCCAAGCCAGTTTGTTCTTTCGTCAAAAACGCCTCCTCATCCTTTGCGTACACAGCTAAATCTGGACCCCTTTGGCTCTTTGCTTTATTGAGAAACATCGGACGAGAGCCTTGCCGTCCCTTATCAGAGGAATGATCCTAAACCGTCAACTAAGTTTGCGGATAGGCAAATCCACCTTTGTTTCGATCTGATCAATTTTGGATACAGTGGGAATTTCTGCAGCGGAACGCCCATCTATATCTGAAGTGATTATGCCGAACAGACTTCCGGAATCTCTGTTCGTTTCTCTATCACCAGTTTATAGCCGCAGTCATGGAACAACACGTCCAAGCAGCGGTCTTCACTCCTAGATCTGTGCAGAATCAAGATGCGTCGACCACATCTTCCGAAGATTCACCAAGCCACAACAGCTGTCTACCCCGCCGCAAGGGTTCTGTCACAGCATATCCAAGTTCCCAAACAGCTTCTTGTAGGAGCAACGTCAGGCGAGGTCGAACGATGCCAGTCAACAACATATCACTCAACACGAGAATCAAGCCGGCCTGGTCGGTCTTCACGTCTCCCGGCTCTTTAGAGCAACTGTACAACGAGAGGGCATACCTCAACGCTTCTCTCAGGGGCCAGGGCGAGCGCTCGTTCGAGCTCATGAGAAGGCTCACCATCTTGCACGAGCAGATGGACAGCTTCTTGCCATCCGACGAGCGTCGAAGGTCTCGAAAGAAAGCCGCCTTGATCAAGAGCAAGATCACGGAAGCCGCCGCACAGGAGAAAGCGATTTCCATCCGACTCTGTGATATCAATGCGGAGCTCAACATCCGAGAACGATGGATGCAGGTTCAACACGAAATCTATGAGCAAAGATATTGCTACTGGGCCATGGAATCACCCGTGACCGGTTACATGGCATCGCCAACGGACCTAGCCTCGGTCATCTCCACGCCGCTCGATGCCGCCTCGCCCGTCTTCTTCCCGGTGGGATACTATCCCATTTACAGCCCGATGCAAATGATGCCGTGTCACGAGCCGGAGGCGTCACCCCCTGAAATGTGGGCCAACAATGAGATGAACGAGACACCGATCGACGCACTGGGAAATCACGGCCTGCAATTCTGCTATGACACCCCCCAAAGCCATGCCCGAACGGCTGAAGAGGCGTCGAGCGAGCTCCCGGGAGCGAATATCGCGAACAAGAGGGGACGGAGGATGAGTCTGCCGCCACTGAGGTGTCTTTGGCCCGGACAACAAGAAAGTTGACGACTGGCTCGAGGTCATGATCCTCACAGCGCGGAGAAAATCTTGGTTGAAATTATTGATATGGTGCTTTTTTCAAAACATGCCAATGGACGCATGTATAATAGCTAGGCAAACGACGCAGGGAATCTCTTGCTCAAATCAGTCCTTCCTCCTATGCGCCCCCTTTTAGTGTATCGAAGCTACCGCCCCTCAGGCGAACTCTCCAAACTGTCCATCGTCGAATCCCAGATCCTGCGCAGATTTCCTCTTCTCCCGCTTCTGGTCCCGCACGCTCTGTGAAGTCGGCGGCGGTGGCAGGAAGCTTCCGTTCCCGCTGCTCTTGGGCGCAGCAGGTGGCGGCGGTAACGAGAAAGCCTGCAAGCTCGCGCCGTCAGGCGGTCCCGTCAACGACGCGGCCGAGGGCCCCCTCGACCGCCTCCCGAGCTTGGAGCCGCCAAAGTTGATGGTGATGGTCTCGCCGTCCTTCAGACTGTAGTCCTTGGTCTTCTCCTCCTCGGCGCGCTTGCTGTTCTCGGCAGCCTGCTTGGCATGGCTCGCGTCCAGCAGGCCCAGGCTCTTCTGGGCCTCCTGCAGGGCGACGCCGAAGTCGAAGGCCTCGCTGCGCTCCTCGAAGCCGATGCCGAGAACAGCCTTGCGGCCCTGGCCGTCCTGGACGCGGATGGCGAAGAAGCGGGAGGAGTCGAGGACGGGCTCGACGACGGTGATGGAGGTGTAGGGGGCGGCGGCGAAGAGCTGGCCGTTGGAGGGGTCCTCGAGGACGATGTCGACCTTGATGTGGTTCTCCTTGGTGGTGATGCCGGCGGGGGCGCCCGGGGCGACGGGGATGACGGCGCTGCCCGTGGCGCCGACGGGGACGGGCTGGGCGGCGGCGGCGGTCTCCCAGGCGGTCTCGAGAACGCGCAGGCGGGCGGTGAAGATCTGGCGTTCGGTCCAGCCGGCGGCCGTGTAGCCCTTGTTGGAGGCCAGGGGCGGGATGTTGTAGACGTGGGCGCCGGAGGCGAGGAAGAGGATGCGCTGGATCGCGTCGGCGGGGAGGGGCGCGCCGGTTGCGGGATCGGTGGTCTCCATTGCTTGCTCTCTTCTGGCTTGTGTGGTGAGTTGAGGTGAGCTTTCTCGTCTAGCTCGTTCGTTCAGGGAGGAGGAGGTGGTTGCTGGGGAGGGCAGGTTCGACGACGGGTGTGTCGGTGGGAAGCAGCAGGAGAGAGCTCGAGCTTCATCACTTATTTGAGAAGGGGGGAAAGAGGGAACTGGGTGCGAATTGGATGGTGCTCAGGGGGGGGGAGACGAAGGCTTACAAGGACGGGAGCTTGGTTAGCTGGGTTTTTGGTGGTGTCAGTGTTTCGGGAGTGGAGGGGACCCCGCTGCCGGTAGTGGGATGCTTGGGTGATGATACAGGCACACAGGACCAGACAGGGCGATGAGACCGCTATTTGGTGGTTGGGAGGACCCTGGAAGGAGACAAGGAGGCACCTCACCCCCAAGGTGGCCAGCCCAACGGTCTCGGCGATAAAAAGATACCTTGCTGCTTGGTGGGAGGGTGCTGATGATGTCAGGTAGCCACATATCGCAGGGAGCAGGGGGGAGCAGCCCCGCCTTCTCTTCGCAAAATTACCCCGCCAAATCACAGCCATCAATTCCACCACGGACACGGCAAGCTCCATGCGGGTTGAGTCACTCTTCCCAAAATTTCCCAGAGCTTCAACATCGCGACATCACGACGTCGACTGTACTCCCTGAGAGACCCCGCACCTCGACGACGACCGCCGACTCCGTCTTCAACTCTTGCGGCGCCCTCACAGACAACGCGATATCAGTGTATGCTACGAAGCGCCCTGTCCAGGTTCCACAGCGCATCCTTCTTCCGAGCCGTCACTATGGCCACCGGCGATCTCGCGCGTACGTCCCATATCGTCGACTCGTCTTGCCCACCTCCAAGCTAACCTGTCTCCTCTCCAGCATCTGGCTCCAAGCCAACCGAAGACCTTCCCGTCCGTCCCAAGCAGGACACCTTCGACATCGTCAAGACATATCACGACCTCCTCCAAGACCCAGATCTGACAAAACCTGTCGCCGCAATCGAGGCCCTCATCACCCTCCTCAACGCCTCCGGCACGACCACAGTCTACGAAACCCTCGACCTCGTCAAGCGCCACTCCGACATCCTCCGCGCATCCGTCAACAACCCCGTCCCCCTCCAGGCCGGCACAGACCTCTTCCTACAGTACCTCGTCTCCTCGCTTAAGCAGCAGGAGTCCGGCGCCGCAGACACCTCCCCCCACCAGTCCTTCGAGGCCGTCCGCACCCATCTCCTCCGCAACGGCCGCCTGTTCGCCTCCCGCGCCATCGCCGCCCGCGACAGAATCGCCGACGCCGGCTGGCGCTTCGTGCGCGACGGCAAGGTCGTCCTCACCCACGGCGCATCTCGCGCTGTGTCCAATGTGCTGTTCAAGGCCGCGGACCAGTTCGGAGGCGGCGCGAACGGCGGTGGTGTGCGGTTCAAGGTTGTGTACGTCCGCGACGAGCACCGCGTCGCTGAGTCGGACCGCGTCGTGAAGGAGCTGCGAGAGAAGGGCATCCCCGTGGCTGAGATTGCCGAGCCGGCTGTGGCGCACGTGCTGGGGCTGCTGAGGCAGGTGCACATGGTCTTCGTGGGCGCCGAGGCCGTCACGCAGAACGGAGGCATCATCTCTAGGATGGGCACTTACCAGATTGCGAAGCTGGCCAAGGAGGCAGGGCTGCCGTTCTACGTTGCCGCCGAGTCGCACAAGTTCGTGCGCAAGTTCCCGCTCGACCAGAGGGATCTGGGATTCCAGCAGCAGGTGCTGGACTTCAGGACTGACGGGTCGAGTGTGCAGCCGGAAGACGCTGTCGATTACACTGTGGGTCTCCATGCTTTCGATGATGATGATGGACATTTTCTAATGGATTGCAGCCCCCTGACTTTATTTCGAACTTGGTTACAGAGAATGGCGTCAAGCTGCCTAGCTACGTCTTTGAGCAGCTGCTCGACATCTACGGAAGCTTGAACGGTTGAGCAAGCTCAAAAGCTTTGCGTTGATAATCGTGGTCTACAGTCTTCAGTCATGATGATAGAGTATGGGTAAGACAAAAGCATCTGCTCCGTCGCGGATGCAGCGGGTTCCGCCTCGGCCGCATTGTGGAGACAAAACCCGGTCCACAAGTTAGCATGGAGCGGCCGACTGTCCGGGAGGAGCTTGAGCGGTCGGACTTCGCATCCCGCGCGGTCATACAAACGGATGAATGTTATATGAAGTGGATGGTCTGTGAAAAGGTACTTGAGGAGTACATGTCGCTGTAGAAAGAACCTCGCTTACTGCTCAACTCCCACCCCTCCCAAGTGGGCAGAATATGCAGCAGTTCATCGGCAGGACCTGCCCACCCACACACCCGTTCTGAAAGAATGAATACATCACCTTTTGTTCAAACGGCATTCTCGCCGAACTTGACCCACGTTTACCACGTACGTAGGAGCTGTCCTGCATGTAATATCCATCCCTCAACCCGCGAAAGTTTTCCCGCGCAAGGCCCCTGACACGCATCCTCCATCTCCTTGCGTCCCAGGATCCGGCCGAACACGAGAAAACGGAACATGCTTACACGTGTATGTGTGTGCGATGCGGAACTCGGCGGGACACAGTCGGTTTCTTTGCTTTTTCCTCGGGCATGGTCGCGCGAACACCACCCCTCTCCCCTCATTTTGAGGCCGTAAAACCCCACATTTTGGGCGCGGGAACCCCCACGAGCGAAAGGGGGTTTGACGTCACGGTCACCGGGTCACATGTATGTAAGACGCCCGCCGCGCCCCCCGTGTGCTACCTTGCTGCTTGCTGCGCGGCGTGAGAGTGAGGGGTTTCGTAGGCATCGTGAGGTCTGTCTGTTTGACCCTAGACGCCGGGCAAGGGAGGTAGGAGAAGGGGTGTCGGGATGCCGTTTTGGGAAGGACATGTTGGACGCGTTAGAGGGGGAGCTTCGTTACGATACTTGGCCGGTGAGATGGAATCGTGGTGTTCTTTTTAGGGGAGACTCGAAGTACAGGGTGATGAAGCTCCCCAGAATCGAGTGCGTATGTCATGGTTATTGGCAACTTCGATGTTTGGCAGAGATACCCACTTCTGTCATTAGCAAATGTTGAATGAGCTTTACACCCTGAAGCTAGAGGGGCTGATGACGCGGCGATAGTCACTGTCTGTCCTAGTCGCTGCCTGTGGTGTATTTCCGACTAGTATTCTGAGTCGTCGAAGGGCCGAAGAACGTCGTCAAATAACGACTCAGGTCGTGTTCCCACTGGCATCACCACGCATGGCTTGCCTGGTTTGAAACCCATGAGCACATATCTTCACTTCAATTGCGTTGGCCTCCTGAGCTTCCGGCACGTCACTGAGCGGTCACCCTTTGTACAAGTGGCTAAAGAAGGGGCCCGCGGGCGTGAGAGACAATTGAGTTGCTTAAATATCTCGCAGTCTACAGGTAGAAAATAGTCAAGAAACAACATGAGGCTGTTGGCCTGGGTATCAGCCCGGACCATTTCGCGTCAATGGACAAAAGTGTCTTCCTCTGTCTTCTCGCCAATGGAGCCAGTCTGGCAAAACGGACCTCGTAAATCCATATCGTCCGTTGACCTTGGTGTCGCCTTGCTCTAATCCGACGATTCATACGCAAACCCGTCCTTTCAGCTGTGCAACTCAACAAAGCTGTGACATACTCGATCCGATTACCAACGAGGCCAAAGCGTAGAGATATTCGCAATCACGACATATGCCACTTAATCACTGTCACAGACAGGCTTAATTGTTGCAATCAGGCCATGGGGGTCAGCTGGATATTTAATTTTAAAGAAGGCCCATTCTCTGCGATCAGAATCGCATAACACATTCCGGGCCACCATGAGATAAACTTGTTTAAGAAAACTATAAGAAAAACATCCACGACAGAAAGACTCTCCGACAAATTTTCGCGTAGTCTCGAATATGATGTTCCACCTCATTTGACCCCCTGAAAAGCAAGGCATAGCTATAGCTGATAAATCAGGACAAGAGCGCAGTTCCCGCTGGAATCTAGGCTGTAGAATCGAGAACATCCCTTATTCGTCACCCGCATTTGTCGCTTATTCATCCCGAATGATGTTTTGGCACTGTTTGGGGAAATTTTGCGATTAGCTGGTTGTCTGCAGTTTATTATGGCGCAACGTGACATGAAAAACTTGGACAAAATGGATTGCGGCGTAGGCCGAGACTCCTTCTAAGCGATGAAAAATACTTCAATTTACACGAATTTTTTATGGTTAATGTTAACGAATGTTGAATTGAGCTGCCCTTAGTGCAGCTGAGGCAATGATAGAAAGTATGTCTGACTTATGCTCCCCATTTTTACATACGCCCCTGGTTCCATGACATAAATGGTAGCGAAAGCCTTTTGGTAAAATACAGAGGTCGAAGGGATTCCAGACTGTGACCCCGCTAACGCCATGCTGTAGCGATCATAAGTGACATGAATTCCAGCTTTTTGCAGAGAGTGAAGGGAATGAGGGCGAAGTTGAGTCGGCCTCACTGTAGCCCCCTGTTGAATCGACTGGCTACACCACGCAAATGATTAAAGATTGTACTATTACAACATCCAAGTATGAATGAAAGACTGGGGGTTCCAGGCGGTTATTTAATGTCCCTCACAATACGGGCACCGGCCCAGGCATAGGGGTAGTTGCGCTGATACCAGTTGACACTAGATGGTGTCAGTTGCCGCTCATCAAGCCGGGATATGACATCGATATTGGCGCGAAGGAAGACTTACAAGGATCGGCGTCCAGCGATGATCGGGTGAGTAGCCCAAGAGCCGCCGAGAACGATGTTGTGCTTGCCATCGAAAAAGTCGGCTGTGCGTCACTTTAGCATCAATACAGTAGTCTCTTAATGATTAAAACTTACCAGTGTACTGGGGATACAAAGGCATGGGCTCAAAGCCTTCATGCCGAGCAAGGGGCGTGCTGGTCCACTCCCAGACGCCACCGAGCTCGCCTTGTCCCGCGAGACGACCGCCATTGGCCGTCACGGGGACGGGATGCCAATGTTGGAAGCCAACATTGGCGCCGTCGAGGTCCATGAAGAGTTCAGAGCGAACCTTCTCGGCCTCGAGGGAGGCAAGCTTTGGGGGTGTCTCCTCAACACCGTCGTTGGAGAGATGTCTATCGCTTGTCAGCATCCCTATTTACTGAAGGAAGGTGCCAGGCTCACCCGTTAACTGCCGGAACCGTTCGTCCGAGGGTGCGCTCAGCTTCCATCTTCTTCAGGTTGTGGACGTATGTGTAAATGCTTCGGGCCTCCTCGAAGCTTGGCATACGACCGCCCATCCATGCGGCGCAACCGGACAGCTCATCGTAAGATGCGAAGATGGGCCAGTCCAGAGCATACTTGAGCGGCACAAGACCGTAGACTGTGCGAACAGCCATGCCCTCGAGGAACGAATCGGGTAGAGAAACGTTTCTGTGACCGTTGACGCCATTGACGCCATTCTTCGCACCGTTTGTGTTCCCATTGACGTGACCATTTGTGTGTCCGTTAGCATGTCCGTTGGCGTGTCCGTTGGTGTGACCGTTAGTGTGTCCATTGGAGTGGCCGTTGCCGAAGCCGTTCGTGTGACCGTTCGTCTTGGTGTCGGACTCCGAGGCATGAACATCAGCCCAAGAAGCGGGAACCTGCTCGATGTGGTTCTCGAACATGTATTGTGCGTACTTCTTGTGTCAGCGCAGACTTGCTTCATCAAATGGGAAAACTCACCTCCTCATTAGTGATCGGCCGACCCTTGGCCTGGAATGAGTGAACATCGACTCTTCTGGACGGTTTCTCATTGTCCCTAGTCTCTGTGAGCTATGCTTTCGAAGCCGCAGTTTCCATGTACTTACCACCCAAAGTAGCCGTTGATGCCGGCATCAAGTGCAGGCTCGTCCATGCCGACCTTGATGGACTGAGCGGGAATATCGTGCCATTCGTTAGCAACACGTGCCTGGTGAGCCTTCTGGGCTAGGCGCTTGAAGTCCGGCCGCTCGACATCAGGCGGCGGAAGAGTCTTGTCGCTTTGGATCATCATGTAGAGGAGAGTCTCCATGTGCATGATCTCGTGCTCAAAGCCGACCCAAATGCCTTGTGCAATTGGCCTGGGAATATTATCGGTACCGTCTTTGTAAAGACTTCGGAGTCTCGAGCGCACGCTCCGCTGGTACTCGATGATCTCTTCGACAGCAGGCCATTCGTCCGGAATCTCGGAGTGAGAGTGGCATTTCTCGGGGTTGTCGACATCGGGGTCAATGCCTCGCTCAAACATTGGCTGGAAATGCGCCGGCTCAGTGGCTGGTTTCTTGGTTGTCTTTGTCAATTGGATGTCCAAGAAGCCGGGGATATGACCGAGGTAGAAGATGCAGGCGTTCCGAAGCTTGATTGGCTTATCCAGCAACTCTTCTCTGGGAAGCATGCTCTGTGTAACGGCGTCCCAGGCCGTCCACAACGCCTCCCAGTCGCTCAACGAAGGACAGGGAGAAGATGCATAGAGATAGGGGAGCAGGCTGAAAGGCATCTTTCTCTTCGAGATCATGTGTAATCCTACTTGACTGTCAGCTCTCGAAACAATGTTCTGGATAGCACCGCATTCTTGTAAGTGTTGCGACTACAATAGTAGGATTCACGAGTTCGTCATATGACGATGTCGGAGCCAGTCGCGTCCGATATCTTACGATCCGGGGAATGCACATCCACCTTTTGGGCAATTGGCTCCACGTTGCCGGCAGACGTGGGGGAGGCTTATGGGGTGCATGATGCTGCGTAAGGGATGGCAACCAAAAATCCCGAGTTCCTGATGTTGTACACAGAAATGATCCACTCACCATGCTCATCGCCCTTGGTCCAACGGCCGGTCTCGATCAGACCTGCCATGCTCCAGAGGTTTTCGGCTCCACGTTGGGAGTACTTCAGGCTCTGCTCGACCTGGATTCGCTCATGCTGCCTGATTAGAGTACCCAAAACGTATGTGTCTCGGACTGGAGAGAAGAAAGCCTGATGGCGGCCACCCTCATCGTCGTAGACATACTCTCCAATGACCTCCCAATCTTTGAGCTTGAAAGCTTCTTGGCCGAGAATCTCGTTCGCATTGGTAAGTCCATTGAGGATGAACCTGAGATTTATTAGATAAAAGCATATAACTGGCTTTAGCTTGTAACCTACTCGTGAGTGATCCCATGTTTGTCTTTAGTTGCAAATGTCAGCAATATCCTACCACATGATCAGGAGCAAATACCATTGTAGGCGTGACTGTAAAACGTTAGCTTTTGGTACTGTGTTAGTGAAGGGACACTGAAAACATACTAGACCTTCGCTGGATCGCCGCATCCGTCCAAACCAATAAGCATCTTGTCTGACGGCGCGAGGACATCGCTGAAATGCTTCAGAAATCCAGCTGCGTCGTAGCGCTCAAAGTTGCCTGAAAGCCAACGTCAGTGTGAGTCGAAGCCTAACAGCTCCTTTGAGGAGTGCCCACCGATACTAGATCCAAGGCTCACAATGCACTTGGGGCGGGCCAAGTTGAAGGGCTTTTTCAACCACTCTCGACCATCATCGTAGGTACCCAGCAGTCCGTGGCATTGAACGTGTCGAAACTCAGGCAATTGCGCCAAGGTGCGCTCCAACTCTTCGCGTGAGAGGTCCAGGGCGTAATAGTCGATCTTCTTCCCGGCATCCTCGAAAGCCTGCAACAGAATCCCCATTTTGCGAAGATTGCTTGAATTTTGGTCAGAATCATCCCAGAGTCACCATTCAGCAAGGGAACCACAGACCCACTCCCCAACTCAATGACCATAGACTCCGGCGATATGTTCTGCGCAATCTCTCTCGAGGAACGGTTCAGAACTTCAATCTCATTGTTGGTGAGGTAATATTCTTCGAGATATGTGATCTGTATGAATTGTTAGTGCCGATCACGCAAGACGTGGCTGAGCCGATGAGTGGTCTAAAAGCACGTACATCCTCGAACAACTGCAGGCCCCGTTCGTTGTAGAGCAGCAAGGTTGGGAGCCTCCGGGGTCCGTTTGTGGGGTTCCACATGGAGAGGATGTCGTCTTTCAAGTTTGTTTCAACCGCAACTCGTCGAACATCAATGATGTCAACGCCATGCTTGCCGACTGACTTAACTGCCTTCTGCTTAGCCGCCTTGGGGCCAGCGTACGGGAGGCTGTCCTGAGAGACAGCGATTGAACCCATCGTGACAGGAATTCAGTGTGTGAAAAGCCAAGCGCTGAGAGTTTGAATCCAGACCAGGTACAACAGAGCGGAACAAAGGTAGATGTTATATGAAGGACGTTGAAGGTAGCATGTGCAAAGCAGTACGGGCTTGGGACGAGAAGAACGGACGGGTACCTAGAGCTTATAGCCTCCACGACAAAGGTACCTGGGTCTCCCAGGCCGGCGGAGGCGCCGGCAAGCGGACGGCGATACACGTTGGTGTTGCCATGCTAGCAATAGGGTAGGTCCGAGACGTGTACCAGGTGCTCTTTGTGGATGCGGACATGGAAGTGGTGACTCGGCGGGCCGTAGGCCTCTTGGGCCTGCCATTCTGGTCTACAGTGTAGCGAGTTGATGGAGCATAGATGCATTTCGGGGATATTGGCGACCAGATGGAGCAGGTGTACGACGAGGGTACGGGGCAGCTGAGATCGGATTGAGTGAAACAAACACCGGGCGAGAGCTGTGTTCGGAAGTACACTCGAGGTAACCCGGTTCCGTGTGCTTGTACCAAACGATACAATTCTCTTTTGTCATAACGTGCAGATAGAGAGAGGAGTGTGACAGCCTCATCCCGGACAGAGAGTGGGAGAAGTTCGCAGTCGAACAAATCAGCGGACGTCATCTGAGGCGTATCCCACGCCCCACCATGGGGCGGCCACACTAAGACTGCTGGAGCTCGACGCGGATCACCGGATTCGACATGGCTGTCATGTACCTGGAATGTTGGAAACGGCCGTCACCACGCCCTTTTGAGCGGGAAAATGGCATTTTCATTAAAGGTCTTTGAGCATCGTGTTGGTCCAAGGTTTAAGTGGCTAGAGGGAAGGGTGTGCATGATCCTTGCAAGGCTCGTAGTTGACTGGAGCCAGGTGTGTCAGGTTGCCAGGATAACTGAAATTGAATAAAACCAGAACCCGGACCAGCAAAACAATGGGATTCAACGAGAGTTTTCAGAGTTTTCCATCTCGAGAGGACATAGGGAGGTGTGGCGTTCAGACCGTCTCGATGCGCTAGGTTCCGTGTTTGGCGGGTTGAGGCTCGTCGAATCTTCTCCAAGGTCAGAGTTTTCGTTGTGTTCGGTCAACGCAGCTCACAGGGCGGGCGTTAGGAAAGCTGACTGCAGACTGTGCAGTGCAGAGTTAGGCTGGTTTCCCAGCTAAGATGCCGCGCCATCAGCTGCTCATAGCTCCCACGCAGCTCCTCTTGGAGAGCTCCATCAACCGGTCAGCTCGCCTATGATCGAGGGTGTGAATAGTGTCGCAGCAGTACTTTTGGCTGGTCTGGGCTTCCAGATCGGCCAACAGCGTGCAACCCCGGCCCAAATTAGCTGCATGTCTCCCTGAACCTTGCGGGGGTGAGGCCCAGCAATAAGGAGGGGCACCGAGAGGTTCCCGACATTTCAACGACGTGTCGTGGGAAACCTCAGCCCACCCAGATGACCAATCCTTCCGACATGACGGGTCCTTGTGCGTGTGGGTGAGAGGATATCGACGTCATGCTTCTCTGCCCCGGCATCAGAGCACACTGCTGGAGAAGAAGGAAAAAAAGGTGTCCAAGTTCCAGTACCCGTGGCACTTGTGGCACAGCCTCTGGGCAATGGACACAGATTCCAAAGCCGGGGCGGGGTAAATCCAGGCACCGTCCCAATTGAGTTACCACAGGTCGTGTCGATCGGTAAAAAGACCCGTTACACGGGATAGTCATGACGAGACTGTAGGGCGGCAGTCAGGGCGTCGAGCGGCGGCGGCAGCAGCAGCAGCAGGTCCAGCAAAGCGCGATTTATGCGTGACAATGTCGGGTGCGGGGAAGTTCTCGCACCAGGTGGTGGTTGTTGCCTTGCAGCTTCTTTTTTAGTCGTCTTGAACCCTGCCATACTTTTGCGGTCGAAACATGCCACGGAGGATTTTTTGCATTGCCGTATTTTCCGACGATTTGCTGGACTGGATGGACCTTTGCGGGTGCGCGTGGTCTGAGAAAGTTGGCTTTGCAACGATTGAGCATCTCCGAGCGGTCCTTTGTCAGCTTTCGGCAGGTGGTTTGGTGCTGTGCCGCTAGTGGCCGTATGATGAGAGGAAGGAAGAAGCAAGGTGGCCGCAACCTGGCTGAGACCGTGAAGCCGGACGGAAGACCCGGTTGGTGGCTGTCATTCTGACGGGAGAATGACTGCGTGGGGCCGGTGTTTTCGGTGAAGCTCGGTCAGGTCTTGAGGTGACGCGGTTGGCAGACACCGACGTTGATGCTCGCGTGACAGCCAAATTTCGGCGCAGGGCAATCTCCCATCTCCAGTTCGGGCGACCAGATCAATCACTTGTTCCTTGCATAAGGCCACAGACGGGATGGTTTCCGTCGCGTTGGGAGCGGCCATCCATCCCAAGCGTGGAGGCGAGCTCGATGTCCCCTCCCGCGCCTGATAAGCTTATCAGTTGTCTCTGGAGATCATCCGGCCGGTTGAAATGCTGCAGGGTCTCCGTAGCCTGTGGTCTGTGATCGGAGCCGGGCGGAGATAGATAAGACATCTCCTGCCATATCTGGGGCTTTTGAGGCTGGAAAATCATCCTTATGACATTTTCTTCTCTGTGTCTCGTTCTCGTTCTCGCGACCAGCCGAGATGACGAACTTTCGGTCGGCCCGTCCAGCTAGAACCAAGCTAGGATTGCGGGAGTGACTCGTCGACGTTTTGCAGCACATAAAGTTCCGATATTGTTGATAATCAACGGTGGAGATGGTGGAGGTCGACGTCGTCGATTTGCATCCGAGCCGGAGAAGGATTAGCATGGCAGTGATGAATTTGACAAACAACATTTGTCTGGCAAAAAGTGACAACAGGGTACAAGAACGGAAGGGAAGGACACATTGAGCGGGGTGCAATGGTCAGAAGGAAGGAAGGAAGGAAGGAAGGAGGGAAGGAGGGAAGGAAGAAGGGGCAACAACCGACGTTCGCACTTCCCTCAGGCTTCCGCTCTGCAGGATGAGACCCTGGCCCTACATCTTCCCCTCGGATTTACAATATTGGCGTAACATAAAACCGACCACATCAGCCTCCCAAGAGAAGAGGAAATCCATCTTTCAACGGCGAAAGCATGGCCCTTCACTACCATGAGAGCAGCGTAGGCTCGACGAATCCCAAATGTGCCGCAAGCCCTTCGGCAGAAATCAACAGCAGTTGTGTTGTGGGAACCTCTCGGAGGTTTGCCTGCGTCTATCTGTCTTACTTGTTGAACCATGTTCTAATGTGTGCAGACAAACCCAGCCCCGGTCTATAAATGCTCGGGCTTCCACTCACTGAGCCATTTCTCCATAATCTTCAACTGCTTCTTCGTTACAACCGCCAATGCCTCGACCACGTCCTCATTCATATGGAGAAGGTCTAGGTCCGGAATGCGGCCTCCGCGTGCAACCACCATTCGAGGCACCTCCTCCGTACCGTTCCAAGGGCTGCCGGGCCGGTAAACTGAGCTCATCGTGGCCGAGTTCCACATATCGAATTCGCCATCGACGAACATGACCTTCTCGAACGGCGCATCCCAACCTCCTTTTGTCCATTTGTTGAAATCGTCTGCAGTGGTGCCTCGGGACATGGCTGGTCTGAAGCCGTTGACCTCCAGGAAGCAGTCGTCGCAATGGCGCTTATAACGCTCCGACGTAAGATGCGAAGAGACGATGTTGTTGCCATCAGACTGAGGCGGGCCGATGTGCCACCAACCAAACTCGTTACATAGCTGCCATGCCCAACTACGAGAGGTCCCGAGATTTGTCGGGCTCGACGGAAATTCAATTTCCTTCTCGTGCTCCCAGTCGCATGGAGTATCGATGCAGAAGTCTTTCCAGTAGCGCTATATCAAATTCGCGAACATATTCCACGCAACATCTAGGACAACATCAGCCTCATTTAGACCCTTGTTGAGCGTCCCGTTATTGACGGTCTTCTCCATATGATTGCAGAATTCCGAGACGTAAGAGAAGCTGTCTGGCGGTATCTTTGTCAGCGTGCTTGCGAAATCGACATCATTGAGCAATGCCACGCCAAACTCCTTCTTCATCTCAGCGATCTCCTGCCTGTCACCCTTTGACAGAATGGAGTCAACTTTTTTGATGACTAGCTTCACACCCTCAGAGCAGTTCCGTGGCATGACCTGCTTGATGGGAGCCCAAAACTGCCAAAAATCTTCGATGACGTGGATGACGGCAAAGAAGCATGGTGGGCAGCAAGCACCCCTGGCGTGATCACAGATTGCCTTGCCGCGAGGGCGCCCGCGTAGCTCCCGCCGATCAACACACAAGGAGACTTGTCAACGTTGGCACCCCCGCAGTTGTCGAAACCGAACTTCGGCAAAGCGCTTGTTGTCTTGAAGCGATTGAGGAACGGCGTGGTACTGCAGGTCTCTGCAGTTATCGTCTTAAAGGGCTGGGACTTTCCATAATACCGATCTGCACGGCTGGTTATCAGGACAGACGCTTCACTAAGCATAAACCAGCACCTAGTGGAACACACCAACGTTCGAAAAGGACGACCGCCCCTTGAAACTTTTCAGCATACAAGTACGCGAGACTTTGCTTGGTCAAGTGCCATCCAGCATATTCCTCTGCATCTGCCTCACCGACGTTCACCATGAAGATGGTATACCCCGGGCCGCCCCAAAATTTTGCATTGTGCCAGTACCGCTGTTCAAAACAACCCTTCGTGGGGTCGGCATGGTCGATTAGCTGTGTTCACGTAGCGAGAGTGGCATCCTCCTGCGAACTGTTGGAGGCCCTGAGACTTTGATGGTTGTGCCTGAGATCAAGCTCTTGGAGCGAAAAAAGTGGCAGACGTAGCAGTGGCGAGAACTGCTGCGATGTTAGAGAGTGCCATCCTCATCGAAATAAGTTACTGAAGACACAATAACCGTCTTGAGGCCCAAACGAAAGACGAGGAGAACGGTCGTAACGAAGCGTAACCTGTGCCACAAGAATCTCGGTTAAAAGATAAGAGAAACAACACATCTATCAACACCCCAACGATCCGATGGCTTGCGTAAAAGCCCTAACTCAAGGTACGCCTCAATCCTACAGCTCAGCAGACAGAAAACCAATTGGCCCAGCAAGCCAAGTCACAACCAAAGGTTCAGGTAGACAAGGCGAACTGGACCGGTATGACATCCATAAAGCACTCTGTTCACCCCATCATACCTCTCGACTTCAGACGAAGGCTTCGCAGGCTCAAAAATAAGACAACTCAGAGTTCGAGAAACGGTGAAGAGTGTCAGTTGAACTCTACCGATGGTGAAAAATACACAAGGTGGGACTTTTGTCTAATCAGAAGTCAGTAAACCAATTCAACGCAGCAAGACAAGTCTAAGTCTTTACAACCAAGGTTCCTAGTGATCACAACCAACTGGAGGGGGAAGGACTTGGAAAGCTTACAAGCCACGCGCACCGTTGAACTGGCCCTGCCATGCCAACCTCAGTCTTTCTATGGTCTTAATATTACGGACTCGAACCGTAGGTTAAAGACTGACTTTAGAAGCTGGAAAGCGGTAAATTTTCGTCTTTGGGCAGCGGCAGCGACCGCACCACGAGGATCCAATCGGCTCAGACAGGATAGGATCCATGGATACTTTCAACTACTCAACATATACTCCCAGACCCAGTAGTAACCGCACTGCTCTGGACGACACCAAACCAAAACATGCACTCCGTGTATGAATTGAAACGTTCTCCCCAATCAAACTCTGAACAGCCCATCTTGAGCAAATGTCAGAGTGGCTCAACGACTGAGCTAACAAGCTCGCCCAAGTCAGCTCTGCCAGGGTGCCATCCATACTTTTTCTTTTCGAGCATCTAGATCGGGTAAACGCTCATACCACTCGCAGCCGTTCTCTCCTCTCAGCCCCAGGAATTCAGTTCTGACGCCCCAAGTTACGCAAGTTTGCCCGCTGCCCTTTTTCAAAACGCCACAAGGCGTTCTTGTCATTTCTCCTCGTTTCTTTTTACTAAACTCTATTTTTCGCATTGTTTTCTTTTCTCCCTCCAGCCGACATGGACTTTCCTCCCTTACTTCTGGGCATCCCACACGTCGTTGCCTTGATCCGACGTCCGGCCGAGGCACTCCCTCGAGTCCGATGTAAACTAGAATGCCAGAGAATCACGCAAAAGGCTTGATATACAGTTGATCGTTCAGTATTTGAAGAGTAATTGCCCTTTCTGAACAAATCGGGATATAAAAATCAGCATCGCAGACTTGGCCCAATGGAGAGCCGCCCCTAGTAAGGTCTCGGAAGTCTCCCCGAGACATTGACACACACGTACACACACTCACACACCCTACATTCCACATTGTCCGGGGTGGCTGAAGGCCGACGAGCGAGCGTGGACAAAATCTCTCCCGGTCTCCCCGAGAGACGGACGGATGCTCCCTTACCTCCCCATGATCCAGACGCGTACCAGGTAACTGGAAAACGCATTCCCACGGCCATTTTTTCGAATGAGACTCTGCATTCCATTACAGTTTTCGCCCGTGGCAGACTGAGGCAACACGCACTCGCGCGCACGCGGACCTCACGCGGGCCTTGCCGTTGCAGCACATGGGGACTGCGTGATGTCCAATTCCTCGTCTAGCCTTGTGTAACCAGCAACTGGCGAACCGCATGGGGCAATGACAGCATTGTGACTTCAAGTCATGGCGCACGGACAAAATGGATAGTATGTCTGGAGATTGTAAGATCAATTTTTTCCAAGACCTCAAAGGATGTGAGATTTCCGAGATCGGTCGTCAAACGGTCAATGGCCAAGAAACCTGGCTGGATCTCCCAGGAGGGGAAGAACCCCCCTTCTGCGGTCTCATACAGAATTAGACGCCAGGCCAATGGCTTCCCAGAGAAAGCCTTCCCGGGTGTAAATAACAAACAGGGAGTCGGTCGTAGCTTCGTACCCGATGAAGAAAAAAGGAAACAAAGAGCAATCATGGTAACATGAGTAACCGCCCAAACGTCACAGCTGATGATCCATTGCTGACTCCTTCCACCCCCTGAGAATGAACTGCTTCTTCAATCACCAAACGCCCTCAGGTATAGCTCTCACTGAACTGAGGCAGGGGATTGCCTCCAGCCACCTGTGAGAAAAACGCCGGCCCCCAATCCCCGATATTTTGGTCGGCAGCCATCTGCCCAGTAAACTCTTCAAGATCCTCGAGGGCGATTCCAAAACGCTGACCCTGGTGCTGGTTGACATATGACTCGATGTTGGCGACATCCGCGCCGCCGGCGCCTGCGTTCATGGCAGCCTCATTGCTCAGGGGCCCGGGTGCTGTTGCGAATGTCTGCGTCGGCGAATGCTGCGACATATTGCCACCTGGGTAGCCCTCCTGCCCGACGGGATATTGAGCACTGTTAATCGCCGTAAACGAGGAGGCTGCCTGTCGCGAGTCTCGCCTGCTTTCCAAGCCGCCGCTGGCACTCAGGTGGGAGTACTCGGGTCCCATTGAAGAGCTGCGTTCCAGAGTGCTTGCTCGGGAGCCATCCGAGGCGTCGTACCCGAGAGATCGATCTTCATCCATGATGATACCATTGCTTGTAATCCTATCGGCCTTGACCCTCCACTCCTCAAGCCCACCGCCTCCCGAGCCCAACCGAATGCTCAGTGTTCCATCGCCGCTCCTTCTACCGTTTCGCCGGGTATAATCCACAAAGACCTTCGTGAAGTATTGATCCATGTCCTTGAAGTACGTCACGTAATTTGAAGCCATGCTGAAATATGGAGCGACCCTCTGCAGTGCGGTGTAGGAGATCCCGGTGTTTCCTGTTTTCGTGAGGTCGGGTATCGCTCCTGAAGCTCGTTCCTGGATCTCTTCATCGCTGACCATGTGCTTTTCGGTGTCCAGCTGAGGATAGTGACGCGCGTAAATTCCCACAAACGCCGCCTGCCAAATGGCGAAAATGACAAGAGACGATTGAGGTAGCTTGTCGCGGCATGTCCTGATCAAGTCAATGATCTCCCGCGCAGCTTTGAAAACCTGCTCCGCACTTCGATACCAAAAGTCGTCCGGAACGATGGCGGGATCGAAGACTGGCTCGTCCAAAGGCCCGATTGGCTTCTCGCATTTGATAGCGATGAAGGGTATGTACTCTCGATGTAGCATGATCCGGCAGAGGGCTCCAAGCATGTGCAAGGACACATACATGCTGTTATCATGTTTCCAAAAATTTGAACTAGACCAGGTGAACTCTTCTGGCAGATGAGCATAAAAGGCCTCTACCTTGGTATTGAGCTGATAAAAAGTTGAGTCCTTATTCCAAGGGGGATACGCTTCCGTGTGGCGGCCACCAGCAAAGCTGTACTTGGTAATGTCTCCCCAAAAGTCGGCGAGTTGCACAAAGCGGCTGAGAACGCTGTCGTCGATAGGGCGCTCCATCTCTTGTCCCACCTGTCGGAGGAAGCCGGTGTAGACGGCCCGGCCCAGATCGAACGCGTGTTCGGTACACGGCAGTTGGATCTGCAAGTCGTCGGATCGAACCATGGAAACTCGCTCGCATCCACATGATAGTAACCGGTCGAGGATGAGACAACTGAACATGGTGCGTCGTCGTATCTCCTGGTCTTTCCACGACTCGGACGGCAACTGCGCCGACTTATGTGACCGGGACAAACCCAAAGCTCTCCTTCCACGAAGAGGCTTGTCACCAAATCCTAGCTTTAAGCCCTGAGCCATACGAATAGCCACGCCGACGTACATCCACGCGGCCAAGCCGCCACTGGGTTGGCTCCATTTGTATAAACCCAGCATCAAGAAGGCTTGAACCCGTACGACGGACGCCGACGTTAGGGCTGATTCAAGTGGTCCCAGAGCTGCCGTGAGAGCATTTGCGAAGTATTCCGACGCTGCTGAAGGATCTGCGCGAGGAAGAGCACCTCGAGATTTTGGGCCTGCAACTTTGTCGTATGTCTGGTGTGCGACGTACTTGACCAACTCGGGTTGGAATCTAGCTGTAAGGGCCAAGATACCTAGGAGCACCAAGTTGACATCCGCAGACGGTTTCTTAATCTCCTTGTCGTGTATGATGCTCTTCAACGTAGGAAGATGTAGAAATGGGAGCTCGGTTGCAAAGTGCAGCTTGTAGATGTCGAAAAGTTCGTGCCAAATCTTACCCGATAGATATGGCATCGATAACACTTCTTCTGCCTTTGCAGTTCCATCGAGCTGAAAGGTGTCATCCAGCTTCTTGACTCGCTTTCGATCAGGACCTGCCTCCCTCTCCTGCTTCGGTACAGTTGGCGGTTCTGCTCGCTTGGCTGGTAGGGGCGTAGGCTCCGGGAATTCACATTTGTGACCAGCCTTGATGCAAGTGTCGCAGGGGGCGCCGGAGTTGTCATTGTCGCATTTGATCTTCGACTTCCTACACCTCTGGCAAGCTATGCTAGACCTCATCGGAGGCCGCATCCCTCTGGAGGGTCTCTTGCCGCTCGGGGCGCCTGTTAACAGAGGCCTCGGCTCATCGTCGTCAGGCGCGACAGAGGAATGGCTTAACCTGGACCCGGCCAAAGGTTGCCGATCCGGAGGGTCTCCTACGGCGGGGGGGACGGCTGACCCCTCCGATGGCGAAAACGTTTCTTGGAATCTCCTCTTCGGCGTGGTCTGGGTGGAAGAGACAGTCCGGGCGTCATCAGCGTTTTCGGGTGAGAGAATAGACTCGATGCGATAAATGGCGGAAATCGTGACGGTTCGGGCCTGTTATAGACCCGCGAAGCCGGTAAGGGTGGCGGACGATGGGAGAAGAGGACCGGTTAAAATGAGTCGGTGCACCAAGTACCACTGTCCCCTCCTGGTAATCCCACGCAGATCCAGGGTGACTGTGCTCGTGACAGAGTGACTTGGAGGGAAGGACGGCAGGAGATGATGAGTCGGACGACCAAGACCAAGATCTGTCGAGATGAGCTAAATAAGGCACCCCTCGAGTGTCACGGGCGCGCAGGGAGTGGCTGTTGACGACTTGCAACCTACGGGTGTTTGCTTCGGGTAACACACAAGAACCTGCAGCAAGCCGGGGAGCTGTTGGTCGGCGATAAGTAGATTGATAGAGCAAGGGCTGTCTACACCCAGTCGACGGTCGGGAGTAGCTACAGCTGGTATCCAAGAAAGTGCCGCCGTACGTCTCCGAAGCTGGGTAGTGAGCGGGCGACGAGATAGGTAGCTGAGGCTGGTGGTTGTTCGGATGAGAGATGAGGTAACGAAGCGGTTTCTGTCTGTGGTGCAGAGCGGTCTGAGTAGATGTGTTAGGCACGAAATGTGTTGGTTGCGAGATTGCGTCTCGTAGAACAGACGCTGACGAAGACGATTGGGAAACAGGCGCGCGCAAAAATAGGCGGAAGGATGCAATTCGTAAGGAATCAGGGAAGCAGGATTGCGAATTCAATCGGGGGTGGAAGGCCGGGACGAGCAATAAGCAATGAGAGGTGGTCAAAAGCTCGCGTTCCCACGGCGGCAGACAGGGAGGGTACAGCCCAATGAACCGGTGGAAATGTTGAACGGCGGCTTTGGCCGTGCTGTCGACTCAATTTGACTGTGTGCCGGGCGGCACCTACACAATGTTGGTCCGCCTCTCCCTTGCTTGTTGTCTCTCTCGGTATATTTGGCTTTGTTTCTCTGCCCCTCCCCGTCATGTGCTGTTCGCTAGCATCACCTGGATCGACAATGTCTGAAATAAGGCTGGATGCCTCGACGCTGCTCCGCCGTTCCCCAGGTCGGTGGTTTTGTTAGGGTAATCCCATCGAGACACAGTTGGAACAGCCCGACAGCACAGTCGAGTGAGCCGAGCTGCCCTCTCCCAAAAGCGGCGCGTCGTGCGGTGCGGGTGCTTGTGGTATATTTCGTAGGTATGCGCCCCCCTCGACCACTCAGGCCCCGTGTCTCTGATCAACCCCACGCGCAGAAGGAATAATGTAGCGGGCACTGGTGGGAGGGGTTGCTGCATGTGCACATAGGCAGACAGCAAGCAGCAGGAGTCTAGGTTGAACGCAAGCAAGGATGCTGGGAAGATATCCGGGTGGTGTCAACCGGAGATGTGACGAGCTTCCCCATCGACGATGGCATACCAGAGTTGGCACATGAATGTGATGCGTGTGTGTACATCGGTGGCCCTGTTCGACGGTGCACAGAACGAACCTCGCCGAATATCTCGCGTGCATTCGTGTTTGAGAGCAATCATCAGCCCCGCGTGACCAGATATACTCCCCGGCCAAAGCACTCTCTTTGAATTTTGACCAGGGCCACTTGCTCACATCTAGCCGTCATCCGCCGTTGCCTCACTCGCAGGCAGGTACGGTGCTCACACTGCTGGCCCCGACAGGCAAGATCGGCCAGACTTGGGATTCGGCCGGCCGGCCCCCGCTTGATGGATGGCTGGGAACTGCTGTGTGCGATCCTGGCATATCGATCTTTATTCAAACGGCTTTATCAGCGGGAACGGCTGCGGTGGAACACTCGGCGGAGGCAAGGCGGTGGATGCCAGAACATCGTCATTTGGTGGCGATGGGTGCGTCTGAATGCGATGCGGGAGTATCGTGAGACTAACAATTCCAATATTGGCTTGTCTGATATGGTCGCCCCGTCCGACGCCCTCTTAGGCTGCAATCGGTGTTTAGGCGTTTTCTAGACCTCTTCCATGTCGCATATTTTGGCGTCTTGTAGGAGAACCCAAAGGTCACTGACCTTGCAACCAGCGACACAACGTTTTGTTCGGTCACCCAAGTTGTTCATGCCGAGCGTACCTTATTTCCTCGGCTCGAGCTTTGCGTGTGAAAACACACAAATGCTAGTACGCCATCATACCCTGGTCGACCTTGCAGCAAGAACAGGCATGATGCCGCTGATGCTGATGCCTCAGCCCCAACGTTCTTGTAGCTGGTGTCGGTTTGGTAGTCGGGTACCGATCAGTCAGCGGTGATTTAGCGCCTGAAGACGCCTCGGGGGGCGCGGCAATGGGTCGCCAACTCAATGTCGGTTCGGATTATGGTTAGGTTATCCGTAAACGAGTGACAGGTCCGGGGCTTATTATGATAAGATGGAAATGGTGTGCAGCAGTGAACGGAACGTATTCCCTCCCTCTGGCCTTAAGCTATGAAGCCTATGCCGGTCATGGGCCGCGCCGCGTGGAACGCAGCCGAAGCATCCATGGCGGCTGGGGCTGACGTTGTGGGTGTGCGGTGGTGCAGTGCGGTACGGTAGGATGCCTGGTGCTTGATGCTGGGGCGACGGTAGTTCTCGAGACGACTGGCCGCACGTATCCATGGAACAGTGATTCTGTCTTGCTTGGCCCTGCTCTCTCACTTCGGTCCGTGTCCCAGAATGCCCTGGCTCCGGGCTGGTAATCGGCCGATCTCTGGTTGCTTGAGGGGTCGATTGGGCTTCTAGCTGCGCTATTCGCAGATGGGTAGCAAGAGACCAGGATGCGGAAGCAGGGCAGGGGCAGCAATGGCTGGCTGATTTGCAGGGTGGCATCGCCGCGTGAGCATCCAGCGCTTGAGTTGCAAAATTGCAACTGGGCTCCCGGGCTTGCTGGCAGGCCTTTTGACAAGTCGGAAAACGACAATGGCGCACCAGTTGGAGTGAAACCGAAAAGAAAGCAATGGGTAGACGCAATTCGGCACACGGTCCCCGGCAGTCCGCGCGAGCAGATTCCAGAGTACGAAGATCCAAATTTGCGAGGCATTTGTCGAGAGACGGACTGGTAAAGTTCGCACTCTGCGTGTACATTCGTATCATGTAAGGATTGGGTAGAAACTGGACTGGATCAGCCCGCAATGACAAGGTCGAGTGTAAGGGTGAACCCTGGCTGAGCTTCCATGTTTAGCTGGTGGCGGCGGATGTGCCCGCCGAGAAGAGACCAAGCTCCAAGCTGTCAGCTCCAGGGCCAGCTCCAGGTCCATCTCTATCCCATCCCCCCAGCTCCGTGCCCACTTCCTCCTCATGGCCGTCGATTCAGCGTGTCGGTTCGACGTCGGCATGATGAATCGTCGAGCTGCGGCTCAATGGTTTAGCCGATGCTTGAGCTTTCTCAGATGCTGGGGGCTTGCGGGCATCGTCCGGCGAGAAGTGGACGGGTCTTGCTGGATACGGAGCCGGAGGTGGAGGAAGTCTAGGGAGACGTCGATACCGTACGGGGTGTAGGCGAGTCGTCGGTGGCGTGGCTGGACGTCCCTTGTCTCAGTTGGCGGGCAGTGGTCAAATGACGAAGATGGCCGTGATGGGCAGCGAAAAGGCCGGGGTTTGAGTGGACGGAATGCGTCGGAGTTGCTGGCGAGCCAATCCACCTGCTGGAATTGGGGAGCTTGGGAACCTTGGGGGCCCTTGGCGGTCCAGAACAACAATGCTCCTTCTTCTCAGGATGTCTCGCGAGGAGAGACAACGAACGATGGTTACACGAAGCGAAGAGACAGAGAATGCCAACGCCCGCGGCTGACATTGGCGTGGCACTGGTAGGTGGCAGTTGGGGAGTTGGGCAGTTGGGGAGTTGGGGTGGTTGATGGAAAGTGCCTGTGGAGGTTAGCTTTCCCATTCAGTTTTCCGTGGCCATCGGA